ATATTGGAAATTTAACAGTAGTTTATGTATGGATAAAGATTTTGTTGAAGAGATGAATAAGGAAATACAGGAATTAAAAGTTGAATGGTCATTACAGATTTTGAATAAATTAGTATTTTGGGATTTTTTAAAGATGAAAATGAGAGAATTTATTATAACATACTCGCGGAAAAAGGCAAAAGCAAGGAGGGTTGAAATAGAACTGTTAGAGAAACAAATCAAGGATTTAGAAGGCGAACTGGTAGTGGGACCCACTAAATATATTGTTGATTGTATTGAGGAGAAAAGGGATAAACTAAATAAATTGTATGATTTTTCTCGACAGGGCATTAAAATAAGATCAAGAGCACCTTGGTTTGAAGATGGAGAAAACAATACGCAATATTTTGAACAGTTTTTAAAATCGAATAAAAGGAAAAGTGTAATTAGGGAGGTGTACAAAGAAAATGGGGAAACTACTAGAGATAAGGAGGAAATTTTAAAGGAAATTAAACTATTTTATAAAGATTTATATTCTTTAAGGGCTGATATAAATCAAAACGACCCTTTCTTTTTCAATGATATTTCAAAGTTAAATGAAGACAATAAGGAAATCTGTGAAGGTAAATTAACTAAAGATGAATGCTTGAAAGTTTTAAAAGAAATGAAATTGAATAAAACCCCGGGAAATGATGGGTTAACAGTTGAATTTTATTATACCTTTTGGCCAGCTTTGGGTGATTTGTTAGTAGAAGTATTGAATGAAACATACGAAAGGGGGGAATTAACGGCATCTCAAAAACAAGGGGTAATTACCTTAATTGAGAAGGAAGCGAAAGATACTCTCCATATAAAAAATTATCGACCCATCACGCTTTTGAATGTAGATTATAAAATTGTATCTAAAGTTCTAGCAAAAAGAATGAAAGAGGTTTTAAATGAAATAATTCATCATGATCAAGTTGGATATATAAAAGATAGAAATATTGGGGAAGCTGTACGATTGATAGATGACATGTTATTTTATTCTATGCATTATGGGGAACAAGGGAAAGGGTTTTTGTGTGCAGTGGATTTTGAGAAAGCTTTCGACTCTGTATCTCATAGATATTTATTTCAAATATTGAAATTGTTCGGTTTTGGAGATTCATTTTGCTCTTGGGTAAAATTATTGTATAAAGGGATAAGTAGTTGTGTTATGAACGGTGGTCACTCCACGGGGTATTTTGAAATAGAAAGGGGAGTAAGGCAAGGGGATCCATTATCGCCATATTTGTTTTTGGTTGCCATCGAAATTTTGGCGCATGCAGTAAGGAGGGACAACGGTATTAAAGGGATTACATTTGGAAAATCTGAAATTAGGCAAGTGTTATATGCAGATGATATGACAATATTTTTGAAGGATATTGATTCGGTTAGAAGGTTGCAATATATTTTTGAATCATTTGAAAAAATTAGTGGTCTTAAAGTGAATAAAACAAAGACACATTTTATGTGGATGGGTGAGGATGAGAACAAACCTGATGGGCCTTTATTTGGAAATTTGGTTAAGGAAATACATATTTTAGGGGTTAGTTATTCATTAGATCGAAGTTTAAAAGATGATTTGAATTATAAAGAAATTCTAAGTAAAATAAAAAAATTGCTTGTATGGTGGAAACAAAGAGATTTAACTATTATGGGTAAAATACATTTGCTAAAAACTTATGCGCTTTCAAAATTAAATTATATTTCATCTCTCGTTATTGTCCCTCATTGGGTATATAAAGAAGTTGCAAAAATTTCATTTGAATTCATATGGAGGGGGAAAGATAGAATTAAACGGGCAATAATGTATCAGGATTATGACTTTGGAGGATTAAGAATGATTAATTTTGAAATGTCCGTTAAAATACAGCGCATAATGTGGATAAAACGTCTTTTATATGGAGAGAAAAGTTTGGGATGGAAATTGTTTTTTGATCATTGCTTACAGTTTGTGGGTGGTAGATTTATTTTTTTATGTGATTATGATTTAAACAAGATTAAACTCGTTTTAGATATTCCACCATACTATATGGAAATGTTGCAAGCATGGCAAGAGACAAGTAATTTAAGATATTTGGAGGGTTATATTAATCCAATTATTTTTAATAATCAGAATATATGTATAAATGGAAAAAGTATATTTGATAGATACTTGTTTGAAAGAGGGATTGTTCAACTGAATCATTTGGTTGAGAAAGGTCATGTTAAGCCTGTTAAATATTTTATGAACCTCGGTATGAAAGGTAATAATTTGCTTATGATTATTGATATTTATGATGCGATACCCAGGTTATGGAAGGATGATTCAGGGTTAATAGAATTCCTCGAGGTTGATTTGATAAGCTTTAATACTTATTTCCATATTTCTAGTAAAAAAATACAGTTTGTGGATGTGGGTTCAAGAACAATCTATGATTATTTCATCAAAGCACTGCAACGAACGTATGATTTGCAGGTAAGGGATGGGCAAAATGATTATGATTTTATAGATAAAGAATTAAAAGAAATATTTGTTAGACCAAGAATTACTATACTCATTAGAAAACAACGTGAATTTCAATTTAAATTATTGCATGGAGCCATATACACTAATGAGCATCTTCATAGATTTGGTTTTGTTGGTGATAATTTATGTTCGTTTTGTAAGCAGGAAATAGAAACATACAAACATTTATTTTTATCTTGTGGGAGCGTTCAAAGGTTATGGCAGGCTTTAATACAACTTTTTGAGTTAGATGAAATTAAAGATTTAGAATGGCGAGATATATTTGTTGGGTTGGTAGGTAGTTCATATAGAATAAAAATGTGTAATACTATCATTTTCATGGTGAAGTATGTTACATTTATGTCAAGATCGGGGGGGGCGAGTACTAACTTTAGAAAAGATGAAAAAAAGCATTTTTAAGTATAGGGATGAGGAAAAGAAAATAGCAATTAAAATGGGAAAGCTAGGATCACATTTTTTAAAGTGGGAGCAGCTTAAGATTAATTAAGATTTGCTTTCTTCTCCACCGTGAGCTTGTTAAAAGCGTAACTCGATTTTGCGGCCTGGATAACTTATTTAGTATATTTTTCTTAAGTTGAGAATGTTGGCAGACATCCACTGAGTGAGTACTGTGTGTGTGTGTGTGTGGGGGGGGGGGGGTGGGTGGGTGGGTGGGTGAGTATGTGTGTGAGTGGGTGAGTATGTTTGTGTGATAGAGGGTGAGTATGTCTGTGTGATGTAGGGGGCAGGGAGGGGGCAGGATTGTTTCAGTAAAATTATCTCCAGATTTGTTTTTTTTTGTAATATATAAGTAAATAACATTTACAATTGACATATTATGTTTAGGTACTTATACCTTTACTTTGTTGCTAAGTTATATTATACTGCAAATAAGTTTGTGTTTAATTATGTTTATGTAAAAGCATCAATATTTAACACGTTTATTTTATTCAATTGTATGTCATGGTTTGTATTACACATCTGGAGAAATAAAACAAAATTGTTAAAAAAAAAAAAAAAAAAAAAAGTGTGTGTGTGTGGGGGGGGGGGGGGGGAGGGGTTAAGGGGAAATCCCCCGTAATATTAAGTTGGTTTTTAATAAAAGCAGAGAATGAAGAAAACAAATTAGTGAAAGTTTGAGCAATTTCAAATCAAGGAAATTTATGAATTCTTAAAGGTAAAGACCAGTTATGGTCATGCGATTGCATTGTGAAAGAAACATTGTGGAATCGATCAAAAAGGTTGATCATCTAGCATCTAGCATCTGCAAGGTTCTGGAATCGTCAAAATGATAAGAAATTTGGCCCATTCTTAGTAAAGTTACAAGCACTATACACAGAAAGATGTATATGGGACTACCCTATATCTCTCACAGACCATGAGAGAAACAAATTTACCAAATATATGAATTAGTAGGCGGTTTCCCGGCAAATTTTTTATCATCATGTATTAGTCAAAACATATGCTTTCACATGATTGGTAATGAGAGCTTCCATTTCATTTTTTGAAATTGGGGCATTTCCAATACTGGTCTTTACCTTTAAAGTTGTCAGCTGTTAAACACAAATTAACAACACTGTGACGTATTTTGCGAGCTCCTCTCCATATTTGATCTGTACAGAAAGTGTCATAAGCTTTCCTTTTCTTTATCATTGATGACGAAATATATTTGTTTCATGTAGGGGATGTATAAAAACATAGTTGCAATGATTATATTAAAGGTGAATGTACGAATACCAGTATTAGATACAGGGCAAATGGGAGGGGAGCTCGCAAGTTACGTCACAGAGTTGCCAATTTTTGATTGACTGATCGCACCTTAAAAGATTCATAACTTTCTTATTTTCAAACTAATTTTGCTCATACTTTTACAGACTCATTACTCTCCTTTCTGCTTCTATTAAAACCACTTAATATCAGGGGGGACTTTCCTTTTAGTGGTTACAATTTTGTTTTTTAGCTTAGGTTTAGTGTTAGATATAAATGTTTGGACCAAGGTTGAAGTTATGAATAACAGTTACTGTAGGAAATTGATCATGGAGCAATTGTTGGCTTCACCCCAGTACAAGACCGACAGCCTCAGAGACCGGCAACCTGAACCATCAAAACCGATGACCCGGCCATTGCAAGCCAGCCCCCCCCCCCACTCCGTGGTCGGAGGGCCGCATTCGTGTTCCCAAAATCTCTGGTAAAGGGGTACTTTTTACGCAACAAATTCCGGCCCGTATCAATTTTACACACCGGAGAGAGGGGTGCTTTCAAAGAGAGGGAACATGCATATGCATACCCTAAATAAAACTGAGTGGGGGGGGGGGGGGGGGGGGGCAACATACCAACAGAACTCAGCTTTTTGAGAGTTCACCATATAGACCACCGGTGTTGGTCTTGTATAGTCGACTGGAATCTCCCGCAATCATTGTTGAAATATTGGTCACTAAAGTGCGTCAAATTGCACATCATCAACCCGCACAATAAAAACAGAAATAAAAACACATCGCAATCCAGATTGTGCTTGTTTCCAGTCATCATTTTATTGTGAAATTACGTCTCATAATGTTTGGTACAAATATCATAATATGTTTATGTTTGTATAATATTCATCATCATCCGAACTCAGCACGGAGCACCTCATAAAAAATGAGCAGTGCTTTCCATGCATGAATTGAATGAACAAGAGAGAAATATATACAGCAGAAAATGGGAAGAGAGCCCATGTTGTTTTCCTTATCTTTTCTAGACCAGTGAAATGATGCTTGAAATACTTGAACGATACACCCAATGAAAATACACACAATCTTATAAAACAACATAGAGGAAGAAAGAGAAAGATGTTGAGAAAGATAGAGAGAAAGAGACAGACTAGACTTTTAAATGGTAGAATTATTTTGATTTTGAGAAGTGTTTGTTTGCATATATTGAAATACACATTTGTATTGATAAGTATAGTACTCAAAACAGTGTATTGATTTATTTGCTCACAAGTATAATTTGCCAACATCAACGTTATTTGTGCATAAGTCGAGTATGTAAGTAATTCCATCCAATTAGAAATTACATTCCATATAACAAAGTGTTATTTGTATGTCTCTATTTTAAAGTGATGGGGAGACAGACAGACAGAAAGCGAGAGAGAGAGAGAGAGAGAGAGAGAGAGAGAGAGAGAGAACACTTAAACTTTTATACAAGCAAAAAGATACAAGTACGGACAGCGGACCAATTTAATTCCCATCTTTTGAAAACAATTAACTTTATGTTTGAAGCTTGCTGCTGCTCACATATACACATATTCCCAAAGCTAAAAAAAGTGTAGGAATTTAACTTTTGCAATGAAAGTAACACATTCCTAATTACATATCTTAATGCAATCATGCCTACAGCCTGAGAAAGAAATCTCTATACCTTCTTAATAGCAATATAACATTTAAATATTAGATTCTGCTGATATGCAAATAGTTGAGACACATTTAAAGACAGCATTTTCTGTTTGGTTTTCAAGAACAACTTTTCATTACAGACATTTTGTAAAAGCAAAGTCAAGTCAGGAATTCCTTACACAGCCTAATATAAAATAAATTATATTAATAAAACTCTCTGTATCAAATGGGGGATTACATGGTGATGAAATGGTTCAATCATGACTCATTACAAAAGTAATAGGGCCCAAATAATTTCAATAATCCAATCCAATCCAAAAGATGTTTGTTTGATATAGCGCCTTTTCCTTGCAGTTACAAAGCCCTGCACAAACGCTCCACAATGTTTGGGCCACTTAAAAAAACCAAAAGGTCAGTGATTTGTAGTAAATCAAATTAAATTTGGGGTTCAATGAATGCACACATACAATCCTGTTTTTGAATTATTTGTCAAAATCAGGAGAGAACAAAATTAAACTAAGTTTCATGCTGAACTCGTTAAAAAGTAGTTTGATTAAATATTTTCCTCACTGTTTTCCTCCAACGTGCAAAGTAAAAGCACAATCGTGTATCCCTCGGTATCGTTTCAAGAAAGACAAAAGTATGCACATTTATTCTGTAAGGCAGAAAAACATTCTTTCTGAATCGTTTAAATACCTGTATATCTATAATGAACATGTGTGTATACTGCACATGTGTTGTATATTTAATATAATACTGTATATGCTATAGTCCTCTTACTAATATTATATTTTCTTAAAATGGATTGAGTATTAGATTTCATACAAAGGGTACAATTTTCTTTATATATTTTCTGTTTGGATTTAATATACATGCGCTTTATACAAATAAAGTTGGGATGACAATAAAAATTGAATGCAATATGCAGAATATATACCAGACAATACAAGTTCAATAGAGGTATCTTGGTATGAGAAGTATACAAACAACAGGCATGAATTGCAATGCATTCACTAATGTTTGCGAAAAAATACCATTCTTACTTGAACAGCTAGAATAAATACTACAACATTTATTCATATCATACACTTAAAAAGAAGAACATTCTCCTCATATCTTAAAAATCAAATGAAAATATATTCCATTAAGTTGACTAGAAATAGGAATATTCATACACCATTTCTATATTGCACGATCCACCTCAATGTAGCCAAATTATTCATCTACATTTAAGAAGTGAACCCAAAAATAAAAGGTTAAAAATAATAATAATAATAATAAGAATAAGATTCTTGGTATATATATCGCTTAATATATCTATCATGTCTCCAAGTGTTTTACAGATTCACTCCTCCCATCAAATAGCAACTTTTAAGAGATAAAATCTTTGAATAAGATAATTGATTATTTTCTACGGCACAAACGATATAGATATAAATAGTTTATAAAGATTTCATAATTCAAAGCTCAGGCAAAAATAATTTTGAACGTAGTGGTCATTTCATAAACTTTTCCCCTTAACAAGGGCAGTGTCATCTGGTCATCCTTACACAGGTCTGGCGTATGAATTACCTGCTTTACAAAGTCAAATACTAGTATCCAATCATTTCATACTAATAATGGCATAGATTTCAATCAAATACGCAGATTCTCAATTGGAATAATACAGAAGCACTACATTCATATAACTATCAGCTTGAAGAAGAAGAAAAATAAATCTAACAGATTAAACAGCAACCAGTTCTAATAAAACTTGCAAAATTCTGACTTCTGATATATCAATAACAAACTTAATCAAATATATCTGAATATAATTTGATTTAATACCATAACTTTGTTGAAGTACTTCAAATGATAAAACTTCTGAAATGCATAAATGTTTTTTGTTTATTTACATACCTCAATAAAGCTACCAATAAATATGAAAGGCACTTTGTTAAAAATGTGATCATAAGTAGAGGAGGACAGAGGCCCAAAAGAGTAAATAACACATTGACATCACCATAGATTAACATATCAAACTAAGAAGTTATAATAAAACAAAATAATATTTGTACACAGGAAGTTAAGACAGAGAATCAGCAGTTCAAATGTTTAGATGTTACATATAGAAATGGAATGCAAAATGTACAAAGAATCAAAGTCCATCACAATCATCATCTTTAATCTTCTTGAAATACACGCTTCACTGATGAGCTTTAAAGAGGAACTCCTATTTTTTATGAGGTGGCATTTTAAAGTCAGAATTTCTAAAGTTAATTCTACATCATTTAGAATCATGACTGTTGATAGCAAGCAAATGATATATGTAAATATCTTTCACAAAAAAAGGAAGAAAGTATTAGGGAAAAACAATTCATGAAGGTGGTTAAAAAAAAAACCTAAATCAATCCTGAAAGGAACATGCATTACAATGTTGGCAAGACAAGAGTGAATACTTGTTCATCATTCTATATAACCATTATTTTATGCCAACAAACAGAAAAACTTTCAGGAAGAAATTTTTAGCATGCAGAAAAGATCCATCCATACCTTTACATTTCATAACCAATAACAAAATCAACTTGGGGCAAAGTGGCAGAAAATAGTTTATGTTTTGGTTACATAAAAATGCTAGCAGAAATGCTGAATTGAATGCTATATTGGATTATCTTGCAAAGGTATTTGGCTATTTGACTGTATTTCATTTATCTGGAGCTCATTAGCAACATATTCAAAAAGACATTACAATGCACTACGATAAAGCGAAACTTTCCGAAACTCCTTATTTCCTACACCTAGCCTAGCATGCTATTCATATTGCCTATCTATTCCTTGAAACAAGGAAACAAAGTTCATTGAACTAGTACTCTCTATTAAAGATAACACCCCTTATTTTGTATAAATACAAATATACGCAGTAAAAACCACTTTCACCATTGTTAAAGAATGAATTTCTTTGATATTATAGCACCGGAATAAATCGAGACAGAATCAATCTTTTTCTGTCTCAGACCTTCAATCCTTCAACATTTTCAAGCTAGACTGGCATCCATGCCCTTTGTTTCACTATCAATGCATTTTCACCTTTACCCTCACAGAAAACAGGCAAGTTTTCTCAAAGAAAAGACTGGTACAGCAGTCTATACAGCACTGGGAGTAGAAAACTGCAAAGAGGTTTTTATACAAAGTAAGAAAGGACACTTCAGGCTCTGACAGTCAACAGATAATAGGGGGTCATTTTTGTCTCTCAAACTTCATTTAGAACAAGTTGTTCAGTACCAGTCACCAATTTCTATTATTTCTCAGCAAGTTCTAATTTTTCAATTCTCTAAAATGACAGCATAACTGGTTGACCAATACAAAGACAAAATTGATTGAAATTGATTTCTAGCTTAAATCTTTCATTTACTTTACCCCTGAACAAACATTTTAATGAATTATTCATAATTTTTTTTTAAATTCACTATTGTCATTAATGATTGTAATACTTGTAACTAGAGTGATATCATTCATGCTATTTTAAAAACATATTGTGGGAAAATATTTTTCAAAGGGGTTCAAGTGGGAATTTTTGGTAAAAAATATTCTGTGATCAAAATTATTTTATGAAATCTTGCAATTCTCTAGGGCTCTTGATCTATGTTAATATGTGAATGACCATTATATTTGATTTCAATATTATATAAGAAGCATGTCTCTATGAAGGATTATTAAAGCCTTTATTCAATCTGTAACACAACATTTATTCTCCTTTTCCATCTTAAATGACTTGCAAGGAAGTTTAATAATGTTCTCAAATTGTTGATGGACTCACTTAGAATGCTCCACCTTATTGCAATAATATTAATATATTAGAGAGGTCAAGTAAACGTATGTATTCTAAATATATTTAAATAATTAGCATGCATTTCTCTTATAACTATATATAACTCTATATGCTGCATGATAAATCCATTATAAAAAATACACAAGTTTCATGATGTTTACCAAAGAAACCAAAAATCAAATAAACCAAACTAAATTCTAATGAGCTTAATGGGCCAAATTTGAAATAGACAAATCTTGACCAATAGATGAATTATGGGGTCTTTGTTCAAGCCGAAAAGTTTTTCTTTGATTTTGACTGGCCAATCACAGCAGGGGATGAATTCAACCTTTGACACAGGAGTGAAGCCAACCCATCAGAAGCAGAATATGATGTCATGTGATCAACAGGTTGAAGGGACGAAGCTATAAAAAAACATTCCATATCTTCCGAAGAGTCGCTCCTTTAATCAGTAAAGTTTTGTGCTCCTAATGTTCTATTGAAAAATAAGTCTAGAGGATAAAGTCTAGTAGTTGCTCATCCAACGTTCAAACATTTCATCAGCTGAACTGTAGAGGGCACCAACGCTGATCATAAGATCGTGTCAAACACATGCATGGACTTCTTGATGTTATCATCCTGGAAGGATAGACAGGAATAAAGAAAAACAAGACAAAACAATGTGAGAGGATGAACTTAGTTGGTTAGAACATCTTACTCCTGAGATCAGATTTTAACACATATTTCTTTCATAATAGTTGCCTTTCACAAACTGAAAAATTGTCTGACGGTTACCTAGTATAGCAGCACATTCTACTTGCAAGGTGAAATGAATCTACAAAGGTGACATGTGTATACAAGATTATTGTGCTAGCCAGTGTTTGGGGGAAGCAATATCCATGATATTGAATATAATTGTAAACAGCATTCACTTTAATGCATTATGAATTGGTTTAGTTAGGAGTTGATTACTTCATACATGATTATAAAGTGATCCAAAATTTGCTCCATGTCTCATTTCTTGAAAGGGATGTCACTGGGTTTTAGATTAGGATTGGAGTTCAATGTGAGGTTTCTTTCGGGGTTAAATTTGGGAATGCGGTTTGAGTATAAAAATGACTTTGGAGAAATCCTGAAACTGGTTGCCATGGTTACTTCATACTCACTCTTTTACATGAATCAATGAACTCATCCATGGATACCACACCATCTCTGTTCAGATCCATTTTCTGTAGGAACATGGGAGAGAAAGAAAGAAAGAAAGAAAGCATTAACAAGAGATCGTACACATACATGGACATCTATATTAGTAGTAGTGGTGGTTATTTTACCTGACTGCTAAGAAAGCATAAATGCTTGCTAGTAAGCAACCAGAGGACAGACGGCTTTAGGTCCTCTCTGAGGGACCTGGTAATGAGGATTAATGCCTTACCAAAGGGCACTAGCGCATCGACTTGGTTTCAAACCCGGGTCACCTGATTACGAGACCACTGCTCTACCAACTGAGCTAAAAAAAAAATGAATGTTCATTACATGATTTGATTATTCTTATGCTGTATAGATAAATATTTATTGGTCTCTCATCATGATACAAAAAATAAAAATAAGATTATTGAAAACGTTCCAGGAAGAAGTCACTTAAAAGGACGAATTGTTAGAAAAGCAAACAATACAAGAAAAACCTACTCTAAGAGTCCCCCACCATGCCCTATCTTCAAGATAGAGGGGGGAGGGGGAGGAGAAGATTGGCACTCAAAGATGTAAGGCCAGGATTCCTTCTTAGGGTATGTGAATTTTAGCAGAAAATCCTTAAGATCGGGGGCTTTATTTTCAAGATTCTTTTTTGACAATTTCCAACATCTGTTCTTATCTTTTAAAGGCATCGTTTCATGATGTTAAATCAGAGATGAATTCCCCTACATGTTATCAGTGCCTGTGATATGGTGTAATATTGAAGCCCTAAAAAAATTATGTTTCAAAATGATCATGAAGTGCCTCAAAAAAAAAATCTTTTCTCTAATAGACTATTGTTTTATAAAAGCCGTTAGGAAAAACGAAGAATGAAATTTCGATTTCAAATCATAAATATCTTGATAATCAGACAGGCAATTGGCTTGTAAAGTCATGGGATTCTTAACTGACCTAAAGGTTTATAATTATGATTGCAGCATGAGCTAAATCCAGGATTTTGTTTCAGAATCTGAGGCAATGTTACCAAGTCACTTTAAGTGATAAAATACTAAATTTGTTATAGTAAGCTCTTTGCACCGATGGGTAACTGAATTCTTGGTATTATCTTGAGATCAATTCATTTAAGGAAATGGGAAGCTTTGGAAAGTTTAGAATAAATGTTTTCATTTTTTAATTTTCTCAATATACAACTTCCTGACCCTCCTCTCTTCTCTATTTTTTTTTCTCCTTTTTTTCTTCTTCTTTTTTCTCTTCTTTTCTTTTTCTTTTACTTTTGTTTGTTTGTTCGTTCTCTATTTGTGTGTGTTTTGTATACTGTTGTACTTGTTATGTGTTTAAATGTTGTGTGGGGCGGGGGGTAGTAGGTGTTTTTTTAGCTTTTTCTCTTTTTATATATATAATTTTTTTGTCTCTAAAGGAAATTGAAGAGGAATATAGGTTAACAGAATATTGTGGAAAAGAAATAATTTGAGAATTATAATCAAACTGGTCTAGAAAATATATATATATTTTTTTATTTTGGTGAAAATATAATTTTGTTAAAGTGAATATTTTTCATCTGTAATTTTTGTATGTAAATGTAAAAGTTCATTGGAAAATTTATTAAGACCTATGTTAAAATTATTTTGTTATTTTATATACAATGTTATAAACAACGTACAATTTTTCTTTATGAGAGAAATTAATAAAAACCTATGAAAACAAAAAAATACCAAAGCAGTACCACAAATCGGAATACAAATAAAACACTTTGAAAAAAAAAGAAACAAAATAACAGTAAAGGAAGAACAAACCTGGAAGACTCTTTCGACGTGTTCTACCGGTGAGATATCTTCAACCGTTGGCTCGGAGTATTTGCCCATCATGTCGTATATGGCTTGTACTATATTTAACATTTCCTGAAAGAAACAAAGAGTGGAAATTTTGTTAAATTTATTTATTTATTTATTTATTTATTTATTCAAGTTTTATTTAAAATAGAGGGTAGGTACATTCAGTTTAACAAAACTGTTTTCCAAGTACGCCCTCTGAATTTATCTGGTTTTTATGACAAAAATTAAATTCTTTCATCTCTCAGAAGCTATTTGGAAGAATAGAACCTATAGAAAAATTATATGAAAACTGATTTGTTTTTTTAGGTCTTTCCTCCAATTACATGGGGGAAAAAAATTCATTTGAAAATGCCCCAAATTTAGGGTTGCTGAAAAGCTTATCCCCAAAGGATGCATATATTTAATTTGATGCAGACATCTGGACATGTGTCATCAATTCCCTTCAACATTTACTTATTGTTGCAAAAATTAGTTATTGAGTCAACGCCATAATCTGGCAAGTGTACATTAAAACTGTAACATTACACTGTCATAAAAAGAGATCAAACACAACATATGAACCAAATTATTCAAATGACATTACAGGTATTGTATGCACCATTTTCATTGCAAGTGAATAATGCTGGCTTTCTAAAAGGGTCTACTGCCCTCTTGTGTTCCTATACTACCCAGAGAAGACAGACACAAGACTTGTTTATACTTTTAGCGAGACAAGGAGGCCTCACTATCATACAATAACAAAACACTAGAATACAGTTAGCTTCTTACAGAATTTGTTGTTGTCAAGGAATGAAGGCCTTTTCTTGACATATGACTACTATTTTGAAGAAACAAATGCACCAGCAACATTACATGAAATGGTTGTAAGTTGATACAGATGGGAAAGTAGCACAAACTAGTTTTGTTGAATCCTCACCTAAAGATAAACACTTTAATTTCGTTTCATCCATCGATCCATCTCTCTCTCTCTCTCTCTCTCTCTCTCTCTCTCTCTCTTTTTCTACGTCTCACTTCACCTCCCTACCATTCGCATCCTTCTAGCGGCCTGTCTGTAAACTAATGTCATCAAGCCGGCAGCATCTCTACAGCTATAATAATGTTGTTTGTAACTCTACACCTTACATCCAATCTCCAAGCGGATTTATATGCATGTAGGACACCGTTCCCCTAATGGCTCTAGATCATGTCAACGGCACGCTTTGTGCCAGAGATCCTTTCTGTCACATTCAACTTGACAAACTAATGAAAAGAGCTAATAAGGTGCTGGAAAGTGGAACACATTGAACCCTTCGATAGGGCCTCGGCTTTGGAGCAAGATAACCTTGTTTTTGTCTGAGCAATAACAAGAGGCTGGAGTTTGTAAGAGGGAGTATGGAGAGTTAAATTGAGAGAAAAGATGGTGTAGTGATTACTGTAGAAGAGAAGAGCTAAAAATATTATTTTGTATATATGTCAATCATATTAAAAATCAATCATCTAACTTACTTTACGGTAGTCATGAGATGTGGAAGTCATTTTGGAATATATTTCATTAAAAATCCTGACGCAACTCGCCAGATCTTAGGATGAAGTTCAGCTTATCAGTGTATCATTTTAAAAATTCATCTAACAATTCAAATTGTCTTTAAAAATGTAAGAATCTATCATGGCTATTTGAAGCATCTACCATACTCTGAAATAACAAATAGCAAAACGAAACAGTATGAACGTGTGAGACCAATTACCTCTAAAAGATGTGTGTAAAGGACACAGGCTGTCGATGTAAAAGGGTTCTTAGGAACTTTGATATAATTTATGGGTTTTTCTAAATTGGAATGAAATTGAACTGAAATAGGGTCATACTGTCACTCATATAGGATCATCGTAAACTATGGGCCATATACATGTAGCCACTCTCTATTCACCGCTAGCATTTTCAAGTATTTGAAAGTGCGCTCGCAAGAAAAAGATGGCTTGTAAAAGGATTTATAAATAGTCCTGCTTGATAGCACAAAGGGGGTCCAAACGAACTGCCATTGGATGACCCAGTTTAAAAGGACACCCCCCTGCTGACAAGCGATTATCTGTGATGGGCAGACCTGTTTGCAACCCGTCCCTGGGGGGTGTTTCACAAAGACTAAGATGGACTGTAAGTTGAATTTAAACATGACTGGCTGTTCATGCCACTAGTTCCTCTAACCATTCCTGGCATTGGTTTCTCAAGGGAGAGTAAAAATCATGATCGCAAATCTACATTTTTTGATAGTTCATTATTGAAGGAAAGAATATTATCTAAAGATCATATTTGAGAGACCAATGGTGAGAGCAACCAGTTGCATGAATGGCCTGCCATAGGTAAGTCCAACTTAAAGTCGATCTTAGTCTTTGTGAAACACCCCCCAGGACATGAATGCTAACTTGGTTTGCAGCTAAATGTCACACAATGAGAAACGAGCAGGGGTAAATTATGAGAAGGGCAACACTTTGACATAAGATGATAAGGGTGAACGCCCTTCTGGCTCTAAACACATGTAATATCAATTGACAATTACATCAAGCACATCTATGAAGCAGTGGTGGATGGATACTGAGAATCTTGACTAGTTAACATATCTTGACTTTAAGTCAGCTCCATTGGCAAATCGCATATATATATTCCAGGAAAAAGACCTAAAGAAATGTCTAACTGTATTGCTCTAGTTCATTATCAGGATATTATAGGGAAGAACACAAGGGGCGCTATTTTTTTGACAGGTTCGACAAGATATATTTCCTCCTAAAGGCCCGGTCACACAGAGGGGACGCATGGGGGACGCACAGCCGGCGCATGGAAAATTTGCAATTTTGGCCAGTGCGTTGTCGTGCGCCCAACTTTTGTCGAAGCTATACAGCTAGCTGACACCAAATGCAAAGCGCTGGACGCATACAGGGCGTATACAGGGCGCACACAGGGCACACACAGGGCGCACACAGAGCGCACATGAAAACAACTTCCACGAATGCACAGCGTGTTGCTAGCGCGCTGGACGAATGGTCCACGCATGCACCGCGTTCTACGACGCACGGCCAGCGCATTGGAAATTGGAAAAGAACGTGTGCCTAACTTTTGTCATAATTTTGGAAAAGCTAGCGAGCTGACACAAAATGCACGGCGTGTAGCTAGCGCGCTGTGCGTATACAGGGCGTGTGCTCCGCGTTTGTCTGGCGCTGGTCTAGCGCGCTCCACGCATGTCTGGCGCTGGTCTAGCGCGCTCCGGCGCATGTCTGGCGTGCCTTTGGCGTGTATATTCATGCGTCGAGCTCGGCGCACGTTTTTGAGCATGCTCAAAAAATCCCAACGCACACAGCGAATGACGACGCATGCATAGCGCTGGTCCAGCGTTGGTCCAGCGCGCTCGACGAACGAGTAACGAATGATGACGCACGCCTAGCGAACGACAACGCACTGGCCCAAATTGCAAATTTCCAATCCGCTGGCCGTGCGTTCCCCATGCGTCCTCCCTGTGTGACCGGGCCTTAAAGCTGGGAGATGATATAAGTGCCCACTACACAGGCGATTGACCATTAGAGAGGTGGCAATTAAAGATAGGTTTGACTGCTTCCCTCCTTTGATATAGAAGTAAAAGGAGAGTATAATTGGTAATGTGAATTCTCGAAATATTTATCATACTCACAAGCGGCTCCCCCTACAAAGCCTGTAAATTATATCCACCCTCCCATCCTTCAAATAATTCACAAAGTTCAGAGCAATAAATAAGACACCGAACCCTAACAAGATCCCATGTTTATTCTTCTTGTTTAGGACAGAATACGACACTGGATAGCCCTCTCATTCTCTCCTGTTTTGCAAAGACATAAACTAAAAACTCAGTTGCGTCACCTTTAAGTTAAACAAAAAATGAAATAGGGAGAAAAACAGTGGAAGGAATAATTGGGTTTGCCGACGCCTGGGATGTAAGGGAAGAATCTAAACCAATATATTGACATTTATGAAATTGATTTATATTGAAAGGAGATACCATACTTTCTACAGAGGAATGAACGCTTTCACGCCAGTGCTATAAAAAAAAGTCCCAATGGAGATATGATGAAACAACAGATACTAAACAGATTGATATTTGGAGATGGGCAGGGGAGTTTGAAACTTGTATTCAAGCTTTACACAGTGAGGTATCAAGAGAGGGGGGGGGGGGTAATGTGCCCCTTACCCGTCAAAATACGCCTACACTATGACTATAACCCCCCCTCTCTTACAATTGAGTTTCAGACCCTTCTCTTTTTTGTTTTGCTTGTTAGAAATTTGAACATGAATCTAATACCTCCCCCTCTTCTGTGGCCCAAAATCTACATAACGGTATAGCTAATTCAAAGAAATGTGCCACCCTCCATTAAATTTGAGACCTTCTCCTTTTTTTCTTTGCAAATATTTTGAACACATACCTGTACCTATTATCCAAAGCATTTCTCAGTTATTTATGTAAAATACAATGGCTGGGTAGTTAAGGTAAACAACTTTCACAGATGCAAAGCAGGTAAATATTTAATTATCAACTTCTACACCAAGACTGATGTAATCTATCTTTAAATCCCTGAAATGTGATGAAAAAAATATGAGGGGGAAGACTAATGTGAGATAAATATCCTCAGCTGGGAAAAGGAAGAGAACAACATGGATGTCTTTTTAATTCTTCATCTCATTAGTGTCATCATTATTCCATCACGCCTCCTCTCTGATTTTCTAATTACAGTCCGACCCATCGTCACCTGTCCTATCGACTAGATAACAGAGTTTGTTGATCTGTATCCGTGAGCGATGTCATCCCGCCCTTAGACATCCTGCCCATCTTTCTTTTCTCTCTCTTTTTTTTTTAGAGGTAATCTGAGTTCTCTTACCACATATTCAAATGAAATTATTGATCACTGACAGCCAACAGAAGAGAAAGAAGAAGAAGAAGAAGAAGAAGAAGAAGAAGGAAAAGGAAAAAGAAAAAGAAGAAAGAAGAAGAAAAAAGAGTTGTGGGAGGAGGAAGGAGGGAGAGGAGGAGGAGGAGAGAGAGAGGAGGAGGAGGAGGAGGAGGAGGAGGAGGAGGAGGAGGAGGAGGAGGAGGAGGAGGTGGAGGAGTAGGAGGAGGAGGAGGAGGAGGAGGAGGAGGAGGAGGAGGAGGAGGAGTAGGAGGAGGAGGAGGAGGAGGAGGAGTAGGAGGAGGAGGAGGAGGAGTAGGAGGAGGAGGAGGAGGAGGAGGAGGAGTAGGAGGAGGAGGAGGAGGAGGAGGAGGAGGAGTAGGAGGAGGAGGAGTAGGAGGAGGAGGAGGAGGAGGAGGAGGAGGAGGAGGAGGAGGAGGAGGAGGATAAGAAGAAAGAGAAGAAGAAGAAAACAGGGGAAAAACCACTACACATAAAAGACTGTAAATACATGAATATGATATATGCTTAATAATTTTGGCAGAAGATTTGAGCAAAGGAAGATAAGGAAATTGAGCTAGTAGTCCCAATCCATGTACATCTCGTATGTGCATTTTAGTGAATGTAATTTCCAGCAAGTTTGAATTTGTTATGTATTTTACTCATCCAGTAACTAATCACAAATTTACAATAAATTCAATTTTCAAATTTTCAAATTTTAGTGAATGTAATTTCCAGCAAGTTTGAATTTGTTATGTATTTTACTCATCCAGTAACCAATCACAAATTTACGATAAATTCAAGGCAATTTATTTTATAATGCAACTACATTCTAGGCAAGCTTTGAACTTACATTTAATCATTCATTCAAGCTCCTAGCTTAGATAATGTGATCTATACTGGCATCAAAAGGTATAATTGGGAGGCAGTGTGACCCAGTTTGTGTTAGCGGTTAAATCCTATTGACAGTGGGCATTTAAATGACGTAATTGGGAAAAAATTATTCTTCATAGGAAACGCAGATGAACTTAATTTTCAAGTTCTAATCATCTATACATCACAACACAACATTTCTGGAGAGGAGTTGATTGAATGCAAGCCCAAATTACAAAGTTCCTAGTATTGTTGTTGCACTATGGAAATGAATTTCCAAAAGTATAAATGGTTGCTTTGTAAACAGCAAAATTGTTCTTTCATTCTGCTTATAAAACATCATTATTCCAATAAAATGAAATTAATCTGATGAATTAGACATGAAATTAATCTGATGAATTAGACATGAAATTAATCTGATGAATTAGACATGAAATTAATGTCTTACACACATGACAGATTTTGAAATTGATTGTATATGTTAAAGTTGCTGCTCAGAGAATGTGGCATTTCTTTACCTGCTTGTCTTTGCCTTTCCCTCTCATCTCTTCTCTATTTCTCCTTATCAAACTCATTTCTCCTTCATCCTATACTCTCTCTCTTTTCCTCAGTGCCTCTTTTAATCTCCTCTCATTTTAAAAGTTATCTTATCCATCGTACTAAACTTTGTATGAAAAGTATAATTTTGAAGGATGGACACATATGTTCATTTTGTACTTGTCTATGGTAACCAAGTGATCCCTGTATCAAGCCTATATGGGAACTAGAGAATTCAGTAGTTATCAGGTTTATGTTCACATATATACCTTCAGCCTCTCCTAGGCTTTTCTATCAACCCCTTCTGTGGTCTTTGGTTGCAAACACCACCTAATAAGTGGAGTATTGTAAAATGTGATTAGAATAAGAATGTCTCTATTTTAGCTCCTGAATAATTAACAGGTAACTTCATTCCAGAAATTGTATCTATAGAAGAAATTTGTTGGCTTATCTAACAATGCAATTATAGTATTACAATTCAAAACTATCCATCTAGGACAATTGTCCTAAATGTAGGTTGCACAGGAGGGTTGATAAGGTAACTTTGCAAAATGCAGTGGTACACAAAGTCATGTCCAGATAGCAAAGTGCATAATTGTAGAAAATCTTCAATTTTATGGCACATAGGCAGAGCCGTATCGTTTTGACATGGAGCTGGTAACATTCTTTTAATAACCTTGATTAGCTTAAAGAAATTAAAAAAAAAAAGTCAATTAAAATATGTCAAATGACAACTTACAATACCTTGATCTCACAGACAGCTATGCCTTTTCCATTCCAAATAAGTTGACCATACCACTGCAGTTCACTAAGCTACCAAAATTAAATTTGAAAAAGATATGCTTACCTCTCTCGTAATGTAGCCATCTCTGTTGATATCGTATAGGTTGAATGCCCAGTTTAGTTTTTCTTGCAGTGACCCTCTTGCCAGTATTGACAAGCCTTGTACAAACTCCTGCAAGGGGGAAAAGATTAGTCCAAGGTAGAGAGACGCAATGCTAGAAAATAGATTATCTCAATCAATCAAGCAATGATGCAATTAAAAGCAAAGCCACAGTGATTCTAGAAAGATTGAGGGGTCTGTTGAGAGCCAGAAGGGCATATCGAGGGGTCAGTGAAACAAAGACGTAACTCCATTTTGGCCACTTTGAGAAAAAGTGGTTTATGTGTCACCGAGCACTTGGGCCTTAAGGAGTTAAGTCTCACTAGCCATTGACTTCAATGGGGTGTTGGATGAAGTTTAGTCTTTGAGTTTCCTGGAAAGCCCACATTTTTCTGAACATTTTGATGACAAATACTCATTTTGGCAAAATATGGAGTTACGTCTTTGTGTCACTGAACCCTCAAGATATAGGTTCTGTTTTGAGTTGAACATCCTTCTGGCTGCCAGCAGACTGATATAGTTTGTCAACAAAGAGAAGGGTCTTGATTCAAACTAAGTTGATGGGAGGTAATGCCTTTTGATTCTCAACAGAAGAAATGGTCCGTTTCTGTTGAGAGTCAGAAAGGCAATGGGTCTGTGTCGGATGATAGGGGTCAATGTCCTTCTAGCTCTCAGTAGACTACATTCTAGAGGTTGTGATGAGGTTTGGATGCAAGCAAAGGAACTATGGGATGCTATTCAAGGTTCATTTAAACATGAGGTGCAATGGTGAACAGCGAGAAGAAGAAATATTCGCAAAATGATATGACAGGCCTACACTACTCTTCATATTTTTGTACTTTATATAACAAACAGATTATGAAGTACAAAAATGGGCCGTTGTTGCTCCCAACAATGTATTTTTTTTACCCCATAATTTCACTTAATGCAGGGGTTATAAGCGCCCTGAAACAGAGATAAGACAAATATATAAGCCCCATGCCTTGCATCTAGGTATCTTTTGTTCAGATTTTAATTGATAAATCTCCCCACATTACTGTCAATGTTAGTTTTAAAAGAGTAATGGTTCCATATAGATATTACAGCAATATATGGATGTATCCCCTTTCTGTCGCAGATACTACAGGGTGTATCATGAAAACAAAATCAAGCATTCAAATTAAAACTTTTCTTCCACAACTCTTGCAAGGCATGATGGGAAAGGAGCAAGCAAGAATGAAAATCAATTAAACTCTGTAAGAATTATAATTTCTATATCACAGTTACAGTTTGAATTCTGCAAAAAAACATTCATGAAATATTAATTGAAAATGATATTGCGGCAAAAATCTGATAAATAACAACCTGTTATTTATGAAAATTCCGAACATTGCCTCTGTCTCCATGCATAATGGTTTTCAGGGAATGTTTTTTCATTAATCTATTTCCAAATTCCACTTATATACCACGCAAATGTCTTTTTTTATATCATAGATGCCACCATATGGAAAGTGTAGAGAGGTTTGATTCTATGTATCATGTGATGAGAACCAAAAGGACTTTATTTCCTTTAACACTTTCACAAATAGTTAACACCTTCTGGCTTTCAGCAGACTGAAAAAGGAATAATGCTCTAGTTAGTCCAACTGTCTAACCATGAATTTAAAAACAAAATTCTTTTGTCCAAAATATGAAACACATTTTTAGATTAAACTTCACAAAAAACCTGTTATTGGAAACATCAATGATATACAGTGCGTTTTATATCACCTGCACAATTGCAAGTTGATGTATACATTGGCTACTCTCCTCACCAATATGATTTTGCTTCAAGATTTTCTATTCTGCACTCCAGCGCTTCATTTCCCAATCAAATGCGCTTTATAGATGGACATACTTGATTCATAGCATGTCGGTAAAAACACTACAAAAGGTTCTTGGCGGTGCCTCCCCTTTATCTGAATTTCAAGTGCTCGGGTTATCCATCATTGTAAAGAAACATGCACACACAATCAGTTCTAACATGTTTGTCGGGTTATTGCATCTTATGCTCCTATCGCATGTTTGACATCTAAGGAAGAAAACAAGAGAGGGGGTCTTTGCCTTCCGAGGTTTTGCGGAGATAGAACGGTGTTGAACAAACAACATGCGGGCGTGGGATCCTTTCCAATTTCTAGCGATCAAATATAGACAGAAAAGAGTTCTTTTCTGGATGATTGATGCGTTCAAGGGATGTTGATGTCAAATGATGAAATGCGACTCACTTTTCTTCACAGGTCACTATCCCTCTCTCGCAAATTTGTTTGCTCCGACCAAATAATGTGTTCCTTTGACGATTATTGAATTCATGTCACAGATTTTCTGAGAATTCTACTGTCTTACTACGTTTTGAACAGGAAAACAATTTTTTTGAAGACAAATTCTAACATAATCACTTCAAAGAAAAGATGGTGCAGGGAATACTAATCAATACATTAACATATCTTCTCTGTTGAGAGCCAGAAGGGTGTTTAGTCTATGGAAGGAGATATTATTAAATGCCTTTCTGGCTCTCAAGAGACACTATCGCATTACTATTTCTAAAGGACAGGGTACATGAGCTTGCCTACCTATGCAACATGACAATATCCTAACAATTAATAGAGATCTTTTATTTAGAAAAATTAGCGGATACCATTGTTGAAAAGTATCAACTACTTTTACAGAACAAATGATTTAGAGAAACACTGCATATATATACTTCAAGAAATCATTTTAACATGACATACTGAAAGCAGAAAATTGATTTTTTTTTTCAAGCTTCGATCAAACACGATGCGGTAAACCATCTAAAAAATAATGCCACAGGCAAAAACAAGATGGTATGAGCATACAGCACTTCACATTGCTAACTCTTATAACAAAGAGATGAATTATTACACTTAGAGGCCGTAGTAGCACTGTTCTATTTACTTGAAAATGGTTTTATCTTTCACCTCACGTTTTCTAAAGGATGGTTTACCGGCTTATGTATGAACAAGGCTGAAGATGCAAGTTAGTGCGATAGTACAAGCAGAGAGTTTGGTAGATGGGGCAAGCAGAAAGGAAAGTGCATAGAACTAAGAAGTGCACATAGGAATAAAATGTTTTTACACAGCTAGGATGGACCTAGTATGCTGTTTAAGAGAATCTGTTGAATCAAAGAACCATGATCTGCAATCATCGGACATTGCGGCATTGACTTTCTATCTTGAAACTTCCTCATGGAACTCAGGACATTAACGTTGAAATGCTTATGAAAACCACTAACAATTTGAGAATTTTTATACACATCAGATGCTCACCCCCCAAAAAATTGCATTGGATGAATGTAGAATACAAATATATAAGGAATAAAAACTTTTTCCATTTTAGTATTGCACAAAAGCAATTAAAAACCTAATTTTCTGCACCCCTCCAAATATTACGGATCAACAACAGTCAATTTGCAGCAGTCACAGAGACGATATAACATGTGGACCCGATCGGCTTGCCTACAAAGCTCTTGTGATGAGCCGTGCTCAATCAATGCAAAGTCACTGTGAATATGCATATTCCACATAGGATGATGTCATCAAGTAGATAGCTAGTTATCAGGTCGACAACTTCTGATTTTTAAAGCTTTAAATTTGAGAGAGCTGTTACTCCTCTGAGACATTGAAATAGCATATAATTGATATCATTGTAATCTATGGCTTAATAGCTTTCCGTTGATATATAATAATAATAATAATAATAGTGGGTTCCTGTATAGCGCTCATGTCAGTCAGACTTGACACTCCTGACGCTCCTGATTATTACCCTGGCTTTAGCACGGCTGCCATTACGGCGCTCTAGCATTTCAAGGAATTAATTCCAGCCGGGTACTCATTTACATCACCTATTCATCTAGTTCATTTTTCACTTCCGACATGGTCTTTAATAGAACTGGATGGTCCTAAACTAAAGCCTAAGGGACTGAGAGAATTTAGAAGTAAATGGATTAATGCCTTTATTTCTCTATCAAAAAAGGTCAGCTATCAAAATGTTGATATGCCCCATCCCCAAGATCTATGGCAGATGTGAAAGTTGTAACAGATTGACTAAGCCCTCTGTGTTCATCAATTTGTATTATGGACTAGAGCTCTGTACTATAAAGAGTTGCGATTTATTAAAATTAATTGTAACTCGTTATAGTACAGGGCCCTGAGCTGCCTATAAATGTAATAATGGTGATGTCATCCTTCCGTCCATGTTACTACTTCCTCACACGTTCAGTTTATTATTGAAAAAAGACAAGCCAAGCAAACAGAGGAGAGTTCATTTGTCTTCATTCCGACCGTTCTGGGATCACTGCAATAGTCATTAGCCGTTTATTTTTGACGTAGGTAAAGGGCATCACAACGAAGCTCAACACAAGAAATGAATTTTGAAATCTAAAACTTTCTTGAGAGAGAGTTATGTAGAGGAGGGATGGCATGCCAGGGAATGGAAAGCGGGGATTTGGCGGGCGCACAAACTGTCCGAACTTACCTCGAAGGAAAGCTCACCATTACGATCGAGATCGAAGGATTTGAAGACGTAATGAGCATAGTGGTCCGATCCTGGGTTATGTGTAACAGTGTGGGAGAGAGAAAGGGAGAGGGAGATAAAATACGGAAGAGAACTCAACAAACTTACCTCAAAGGTTAGTGAACCATTATGGTCCGTATCAAAGGAATTGAAGACATAATGGGCATAGTGGCTCGAATCTAGAAAAGAAAAAAGCAGAATAACAAACTATGTTATCTCATCTTAGGGACAATAATAATTCTATGACAACCACTCGCGACACCTACCCCTTGACAATTACCACATGACCATCTGAAATCTGGACAATTATCAGATTCATGACATATTCTTGATGATCAGAAACATCAGTGTCAGGTGGGAATTTTTCTGAGGGGTAGATGTTAAGGTAGTAATTGTCCTAGTTGGAAAACCTATTCCCAGAAGAACCAAGTGGTTTCTATATTAAAGTCCAAAGGAGATTGAGAGATTTGTTTGTCAATAGGTTGATTTGAAGCGTATCAATCACCCATAAATATTTTGTTCTGTATATGTTAGTAGTCCCATGCAGTACTACTCTATTCAAAATATTAGCTTCAAATAATACTTCTGAAACAGATTTTGCAAGTTTTAATATACTCACAATTAATATAAAAGTGACTTGTGAGTAGACTACTTGACGCACCTCATACGGGGCCCTCATGGAACCCAAGTCCACATTGGATTCTGTGGGCGCGGTTTTATGTTATTCTTTCTTTTCTTCAGACTCCTCATCCCTTAGCCCATAGAATGCCAGGTGAAAATCGTTGAGGTTGATTTTTATATATTCTAGCTTTACCTAAATTATTTTATTAGTTGATTGGTGTCATTGTTGGTCGATTGTCCAATGTGGTTTAAAATCGTCTGTATTAGATGGTGTTCTGGAAAGTTAATTTTCTTAGTGCAGTTGTCATAGGTAGAAGATCGTCTAACCTGGACAGATCTATTGGTCCTAGGTGGATGATCTTCCTGGGGATAATACCAGTTGGTGGTAGTTGTCCATTGGAATGGTAAATGCAATGGTGTAGTTGTCCAAAGGGTTAGCTGTCAAGGTGGTTATTGTCCTAAGTAGATGGTAGTCAAGTGGGTAGGTGTATTTGCTATCCTTCGGGGCCACATTCAATAGTATGGTAATTGCTCTGGGTTATCCTAGGAGGATTATTAGCCCCAAAAGGGGCAGGAATTAGTTGTTCCTGGAGAACTATTACCTGAAAAGACGGGGGTGCAGTTGTCATAGGTGTGTGAATATCCATCCACAAGTAGTTGTTCAAGGAGTTGACACCAGATTACAAGAAAAAAAACAATGTCCTTTTCATGTTTGATATCCCTTTATTACTAAAAGTACCTTGTCCCAAAGGTATTTTCGAATTCTTTTGAGTTACCCCAACTCCAAATAATGAATCTAGTAACCAAATATCAAAATTAAGAAAGTTGACATTTAGAAGGGAAAAAAAATCAATTATACTCTCATACCTGTCTGTCAATAAAGCCATCCTAGGGAAACAGACAAAAAGTTCTTTGTTGACGGAATGCTTTCAAGACAGTTTCTACAATATATATATATATCTTCCTCAAGGGAGACAATATAAACGATCACAATGAACCACTATGGATCGACAGGTGGCATTAATGGCATGTTAGCCAATGAGACAAGGTTTGACAGTATATATCTTGTATTTCCTTCTTTTTTCACACACATCTGCAATATAACTGGTATTTATTTCAATTTTCTTATCCATCAATAAAAATGATAAAACCCCCATCAAGTCAATATTTTTTCTTTCAAATAAAAGTAATCTTCAATAACCATCATTAATGACACATCTGGCTAATCATTAGTAACTATTTTGGGAGTGATCATGGACATGGTCGGCAGAAAGAGAGGGAAGATATACAATAACAGGCCGGCACTTTTGAAGTCTGGAGAATTGCCTTCTACATGCATCGCCGGTCCAATTAAAGTATTCCTCTCGTTACGAGTATCTCCAAATGCCATTCTAGTTATATTCACACCTGCATGAGCAACATTAATGTGACAAGGCTTTTTAGATTCTCTTCTTCAATCATTATAAAATAACAGAGAGTCGGAAAGAAGAAAAATGGCAGCTGGAGCTGCATTTCTTCACTTTTGAGATTATTTATTTTTTCCTATAAATAGATCTATCCTCCCTAGAAGTACCATGATGCCATCTGTCTCTAACCTTGAAGTGCATTAACTTTACGTCAAAATGATCCATGTTTACACCCTTCTGGCCACCAGGAGACGACATTCTCTCTATTTTAAAATCATGAATAACAAATGTATACTTGGTGTATTAGATTATAAATGAAAGAAGGAAAGTGCAAGGTAAAATAGCTTTTTTGAACCTGGCAGATGTTGAATAAATAAATATTTGTATACCCTCACTCCTCTTCCAAAGTAGTGACAATAAAGAGTTTCCAATCAGAATATTTTCAATCTGCAATTCAGGCACTATTTTCTTATCTGATGTGTGTCTCCATTCTCATTTGAATATTATTGTTCTTTTTAACTTGATAGGATCGGATTGTTCCTTTAAAATGAAAAACAAACTTCAATTTACTCAAATAAAATGGTTGTATATTATTGGATTCTCTCTGTTATGGAAGCATGACCATGAACCAGACATACATTTTATTTAAAGTTTACTTCTTCAAGAATTATTTCCATGTGACATTGTTGCTGTGTTATTCTTCCCGCAGCAACAAGAAAGCTAGCTCACAAAGTATTTTTTTTTTTACATTCACCAGAACTCAACCTCCTCATCAATTTGGAATAATTCATCTGGTGTTCGAGGCGATGTTTGTATCAAGACGTCATTCAGGATGAAGACCAATGTTGTGATAGGAATCTCATCGATTCCTCCACTTACCCATAATGCATCAGCTCCTTCAGAGGAAGGGGGCCAGGGAGATGTTGATGAGAAAACAGATAAAGCCATCTCAATGGTACTTTTCTTTTTGTTAGAAAGGTTAACGTAAGATGAACAAGGCGGAAAGGATGTGATTGAAGATGAAGATGTCGTCTTTCAATAAATCTTGTTTGGCTATCGGCCAAATGAACTAGTTAAATTGATGCAGGTAGATTCTGACTGTATGACGTTTTGAACAAGCGAAGTACTCTAGGGAATTATATTTTGCGTATTTATAGTGTAGTTCAAGTTTTCTAGGTCTTTACAGTATCTTAAAATCTAATTTCAAAGGCTTTGTGTTCAATATTGACAAAAGTCCTCATTTTCACTACCCTTTATATTATATTTTCAGCAGACTTTTAGAGTATCATAAAAGTATGATAAAACATTTGCTTTAAATAAAGAATCAAATTTTAAGGATTTGCATGGAATATTGTCAAAACATCCTTACTTAAATAATGAGTTTTAGAAGACTTTACATTTCAAGTACCATTAATATACTTGTAAAATAGTCTTTTATTTTGCTTTAATAAAGAATCTTCTTAAGAAGGACTTGCATGGAATATTGTCCAAATGTCCTTATTGACATAACCTTTTATATCATTTTCAGCAGTCAGTTATAAAGTATTTTGTTTCAATAAAGAATCTAATTAAAAGGGATTTAAAAAGGATATCAACAACTCCTTATTATTGTTCATTTTCAGCAAACCCATTAAGTGGCATACAGCCAGTAGGCCTAGTAGAACGTAAACAATTATTAGAATTGTTGTTTTCTATCTCTTCAACATTAGCTGGAAGGATTCTATGTGGTTAAGATTAAAGCTCCTGCCTAGTGAAAACATCATTACAATTTTATGTTCACTTGGAATTTGTGAAACTTCTCCAACTAGAACTTCAAACCAGATTATCTCAAATTGGAATTTTACCTCAAGTACTGCAGGTACTAAACATCAGAGCTATGTCAAGTCATTAGTAAATTGTCTTCTCACAGAGCAAGAAGAACATTGCCAAATGTCATTCACACAAGGTTAACTCCCTTCTAGCTCTAAACATACAACATTAAAGGTAAAGACCAGTTTTGGAAATGCCCCCCTCTCAAAAAATGAAATGGAAGCTCTTATTACCAATCGTGTGAAAGAATATGTTTTGACTAATATGTGATGATACAAATTTTGCCGAGAAACCGCCTACTAATTGATATATTTGGTAAATTATTAAATCTATTTTGACCTGATAGATATCGCGCACGTGTCGCGCACGTTTTACATAGTCCCATATACATCTTTCTGTGTACAGTGCTTGTAACTTTACCAAGACTGGGCCAAATTTCTTATCACTTTGATGATTCCAGAACCTTGCAGTACACACCAATACTATATGCTAGATGATCAACCTTTTCTGATCGATTCCACAACGTTTCTTTCACATTGCGATTGCGATCGCATGACCAGAACTGGTCTTTATCTTTAAGTTGAGGCAATAGCAGGAATGATATGAATAATGATGGAAAAGAAAATTTTCAAGATAAAATTGTGTTTATCTTCAAAGATAAAATTGTGTTCGTCTTCAATGCAAAATCCTGCTCGCATCAGAGTAAGATATCCTGTCTTTTTTCATCCTGCCTAATCTCTTTTTATCTCAGATCTCAACACTTTCACCGAGCTTGTAATAAGACCCCACTATGCTAATGACGACGATGCAAACAGCTACGTTCCATCTGCATCTTATCTTGACCTGCCAATCTATAGGGTGTTTCCATGGCAACCAATTTTCTCCTACCCCGTTTTTGTTTCTTTTAATCTTGCTCAATCAAGAGCCCCAATTCCGCATTCATGTTATAAGTTTCATCTTCATAGTGGATGACAGCGGTAATTAAATGGGTAATTTATGGCATCCATCCATCCATTATTTGGTCAGTGGCTGAATAACCTGTTCTTGTCTCACATGATTAACAATACATGGGACATTGTATGTCTTCACAAAGCTCATTATCTTGACTGAAATAAAACAGGTTGCTTTGATTTTTTCAAATTTATTTATTCATTCACTGCCTATTACCCCCATTCATTCATGAATATTTTCAGAATCCACTTTCTCACTTTCTAGTTTGAGTAAAAAATAAAATAAGTGGTTCAATTGGTTTTTTACAATTAGATACTCCGTCTTACTCTATAATTCATGTGTTCTTTCATTAAAAAAAGCCAAGAGTAGACCTGAGTCATAGATTGTACATTTCCAAAACTCTGTACAGAGTTGCAGGAGTGATAGCATATACCTGCAATACAGTGTTGATTATCATCTTTACATATTATGTTTTACTTTTTTGTTCTTAACATTATTTTTTAATAATTTAGATAAGTAAAGTTAAACTGTTCAAGAATTTTTTCCTTATATATAAAAAGCAGTTACTCTGAATTTTCCCTAGTTACTGAGCACTTAGTTTTCATTTTTTTTTAAAGGGACAAAAAAAACCCTCAATGAAAACTGTTTCCATACTGAATTTCAATACATGTTTGTTTGTTTCTTCTTAACTCTGAAATAAGCAAGATAATAACAAAAAATCAATAACAAATCCTGAAGGTAATGACATTGAGATAGTATTATAATTTCCAGATTGTTCCTGTTATACCTCACTACCAATGATATCTACTCTTATCAGTTGTCATCATCAACATAATTTTAGAATTAGGACACATTAGGGTCGGTACAGTGATGGTAATGCCACCTGTACCAGATCAAATTTCCCCATTGAACATGATCGGCTCATCATTATCAATGAAGATAATGTTTCAACACTTTTTTCTATATTTGAATGAAAGCATGTTTACTCCTTATAGTGTACCATTCACCTGTGTGTAGGGAGAATGTATAAAATCAACCTTAAAAAAACTGTACCTAGCATTCTACAGTAAACGGTTAAGAGTATGAAGAAAATAAACAATTTTCAAGGGAATAATCTACTTTACTTGTTCCTGTTTCAGAAAGAAAATATGACCATGTTTATATAGTCTGAAGATATTGTTCAATACACATACTCTTAGATCAGGTTTGATGCCCCCTCCCCCCCCCCATAGCATAAAATGAGTTCATAAACTTCAATCACATCAAAAGATTACCGGTAGGTGACATAAACTTATCTAGATTCAAACGTTTTAATAATACTTCCCATCATCATTAAAAAAGTTCCTGGGATTCTTTAATGATCTTGCGAGCTCAACCAAGACTCAATGACTGGTCAAGATATCCCCTAAAGTCATTAACCACCCTTAATTTGAGTGAAAATATGACTATTAAAGTGATTAAGGTGGGCTACAGGCATCAATCTTTCCTATAAGTGTTCTTAGTAATCCTTCATGTCCCATTTCTGTTCTGTATTTTAGGAGAACAGAATTATATTTCCATCCTTTATGGCTTGGTGGCCAGGGTATTTTTGATCTTATAGAGATGAGATAATATTAAACTGGCCATTAATGATAAAAGAGATTGGATGGCTCTTAAAAAAAATTGATATGATAACACATTGTGATTTTATCTCTTACCTGGGAAAGATAATTAAGAGATCTGGTAAAGGTGAAATTAGTTTCTAAGCTTTCTCATTCATTTACATGTCAGCTTAGAAGAATATCACGGGAGAAATGTCCCCTGAGGATTCCTCTTCAAATGGGCTGTTATTCGAAATATGATAAAAACAATTGAAATGTTTGGACAAACTTTCCCGCCACTCGTGACTGTTCCCATATTCCGATGTATGTTTACAGAACATGTGAATTTCAAAAGAACCGATTCAATTTTTTTCGCATTATTTTGAAAGTCCCCCCCCCCCCAAAAAAAGTAAATACAAATTATATACACATAGCTAGTAATCTTCATTTTTTCCAATTCATAAAATATACATCACTGGGAATAACTTCATTCATGGCATAGAAAAATGGCTGATGTACTTTGTATGCACTGACAGGAACAAATATAAACTATCACTATGTGTATGTAGGGAAGAGATTTTAGAGAGGAGTTTGTAGAATGCAAGTGATTGATGTATGGCCTGAGCAGTACAACAATCCAATCCAATTCTTCTTAAGCCAGGCATGGTCAGTTTATTGCTTTCCAATAGGCATCCAAATCAAATATTCGGAGAAGATCCCAGAATAATAAATATGATTTATTAAGGGTCTTCGATCCTACGGACTCTGAGAATACATGTCTAAAAGGCCTTGGCTTTGGTGGGTACTTGGGACCTAATGAAACTTGATTAGGCCAATTTCATCCCATTTATTTTGATTATCGTCAATAAATAGGAGATTCCTGAGAGCTCTACAATGCAGCTGTTTCCCTTATTCTTTAGAATTGTGATCTTGTTTTGGAATGGCTTTATTTGAGAGTATAATAAAGTCATCATGAAAGATATGTCAAATAATTCCATTGTGGTTCTTGGCGATCGATGTCATTCTGGACAGATGCATATGGTACAGAACATGGGCATGAAGCTTCAGAAAGGGGGAATTCTTATAGGTTACATTACACATGTAAATTATGATACATATCGTCCTTATTTTCACGAAGTGATGGTAGTGAGGAAAATCGTCACGCAAAGTGAATGCAATTTTTTTTCACTACCGTAACTTCGTGAAAACAGCGACTATATATATGTATTGCAATGTGATGTAAGAATCATGTGACCGGCTATGAGTCCAGAGTAGGATCATGGAACTGGTTTATTATGCCAACAAGTTCTTTTATTTGAAATAAAGACTTGATAAGAAAACACTACCTAACAAAATACTGCTGATAACTACAAAATAATCCACAATTAAGTTGGAGAATAATATTTCTCTCTTTTTATTTTCAAATATAAATGATATATACAATTCCTCATCTTCTCTGCTGAGATTGTTGGCCCAATGTTTAAGGAAAAATATGGCTTGTGTATCAATACTATGTGAATGAGAGAAATTGGTAGTGATGGGGTAAAAGAGGAAAATGTAAAGACAGATCTTTCTTACCTCCTTGAGGGAAAAACTGTGAATAGATTTTCTTGAATGTATCCTCGTTTACCATTCCCGATGGACATTCCTACAAGAAAAAGCAGAAAGAAAATAAAACAAAAGATTAAACAAAAGGTGAAGCAATTATGGAGCAGTAGTCAATTGATTCAACACAGTACAATACAACAACGCTTCATAACTGGTTCAGTATTCTAAGTGTTGCCAATCAAGCATTTTGATACAAATACAAGATTATGATATTCTTTTTATACATACACAATGTTATTGAATCACTGGCAGTAGTAAAGAATTGTAATAATTTTTTTTTTACCATACTGATACAAACCTTATACATATTCATGTATGTAAATATTAAGTATGGAAATGCGCAGCGGATTGTTGTTACTGTTGTGTTATTATGATTTTATGATATGATTATGGGAGAGAGAAGGAGTGAGGGAGAGAGAGAGAGGGAGTGAGGGAGAGAGAGAGAGGGAGTGAGGGAGAGAGAGAGAGAGGGAGAGAAGGGAAGGGAGAGAAGGGGAGGGAGGAAGAGAAGGGGAAGGAGGGAGACAAGGGGAGGAAGGGACACAGAGAGAGAGAGAGAGACAGAGAAATAGAGAGAGAGAGACAGAGAAATAGAGAGAGAGAGAGAGAGAGAGACAGAGAAATAGAGAGAGAGACAGAAATAGAGAGAGATAGACAGAGAAATAGAGAGAGAGACAGAGAAATAGAGAGAGAGAAAGAGAAAGAGAAAGAGAAAGAGAGAGAGAGAGAGAAAAGAGAGAGAGAGAAAGAGAGAGAGAGAGAGAGAGAAGAGAGAGAGAAAGAGAGAGAGAGACGGAGAGGGATGGAAGGAGACAGAGAGAGAAAGAAAATGGAGGGGGGGGGGGGGGGGGGAGGAAGACATAAAAGGATGCAGAAGAAGAGAATAGCAGTATAGTGCATCCTACTAAAATGCAAACAACAAAAAGCAGACAGATTAGAATTCTCTAAATCCCCAAGCAATGGAAAGAAATCCAAAAGTGCCAGATTTTCCCATCCTGAACTCATTATTTATTCATTAATATTCAAGAAACTCCTACTCCAAGGAGCGATGAACAAGGTTCTTGACATGAGCGAGAAAATACACTGGTGCTTTGAGATTCAAAAGATTACGACACGTCCACTGCATCCAGCCATAAAAGTACCATGATACCAATTCAGGACATTGACTGCCTGCAGCGACAACATGGCATTTGAATGACATACGTAATAAAGTAACGTTATTAGCCTTCCGCCTCGGTTGATAGTATGTTCACATGCATCAATTGAATGTTTCATTTATCCTTCACAATCCATAACAATGGTTCCAGTCAGGACACATGATCTATGATCCGGCAACAATTTTCCCATGCTCAATTTTTAATGCGACCCAAATTTTAATCTTCAACCAGGGACAGAACACTCTAAATAACTCTAAACTTAACCTAAAACCAAACCAATCACAGTAGTGATTTGTATCAAAACTTTGAAAAAGGAAAAGATTCCATCACATTGCAGACATTTCTCGAACATTGCTTGCATCCAAAGACTTAACCTCTTAGCATCTTCAGAGCTTGGCAGATCAAATGTACAAGAGTAGCACATCATTAATCCTGAGGGAAAAAAAAAAAGCCTGACAATGCCCTTATCCCAAAGTAAGAAATGGATTGCCAGTCAGATCAATTAGTATTTGGGGATACATCAACATAGTACATAGGAACCTGCAAACTTTACTTAATGAGAAACTTGGTCTTTTCAATTTGTACTTTAAAGCCCTTAAATTGTATCATAATGTGAAAGAGGATATCATTTAAGACATATTTCTGCAAGGATTTTCAAAACAAATCTGTTTGAAGTCGCATTCAAAACAAATCTGTTTGAAGTCGGATTCAAAACAAATATATTTGAAGTCAAATATGTTTGAAGTCGAATATTGATGAAAGGATACAAAATCCTTGCAGAAATGTGTCTTAAATGATCAACATCCTCTTTCACTTTATGATACAATTTAAGTGAAATTTTGCCATCAAATTTTGCGGAAATTGGGGATCCCAACACATTAAAGGGGCTTTAAGGGGGGAAATGCATCTGCATGTGTTGTAATACATCCAACTAAGTAAAACAGGGAGTCATTTCAAATTGGATTAAAAATATCTTAATATCACTTAACAAATGAAACTCTATTTCTGTTAGACAACATCTGCAATAGAAGTTCAAAACGTAACATTCTTCTATTTATAAGAAAATGGGGCAGATGGTTATAAAATATTTGAGTCTGGGGAACGACAACCAATGAAGTGGTATGATGGATCCTCATCTCAAATGATGTCATTCTATATCTTGACATCATTTGCAGCTCAAATTTGATGTGATTAGAATTCTAGTGCAACCTCCCATCCCTACGGGTTTAGAATGAAACTCATTTCCTTTCCCTGCATATTACCCAAACGTACCTCGGACAACATCAAAAATTAAAATCTAGGCTCGTCAGCCGCCGCACGACCGCTAACTGGTGCCAATGTGGAGAGGCGTTATGATCATAACAGTCACTTGTACTCTCTGGATAATGAGAGATTACCACCAATGGTCAGGGGCAGATCTAGGGGGGGGGGGTTTTGGCGGTTTAACCCCCCCCCCCCCCCCCCCTTGGGCAGCCAAGTGGGAAAAAAAAAAAGAAAAGAGAAAAAAGGGGGGAAAAAGAAGAAGAAAAAAAAGAAAAGAAAAAAAAGGGGAAGAAAAAGAAGAAGAAGAGAAAAAAAAAAGAAGAAGTAAAACAGTAAAACGGCGCAATTTTGGAAAATCCTGGATCCGCCACTGGGTCAAACCCCCCCCCCCCCCCCCTTGGCAAAAAGATAGATCCTGATGGTACATCCGTTGTTTTGGGAGATGCCGCTTATTATCATTATTAAAAAATAGATAAAGCAGCAATGTTGCTCTTATCTATTTAAGACATAGCCTGATATAACATGAGGCCAAAAGCATTGGAAATGAATGTTTAATGAAAAAAATACTCCTCAAAATGTTGAAGTTTAATGGTTACACAAATAGTTGAAATAACAAGATTTGTTTAAATCATGAATATTATGTCTTAATCAAGCCTGACTTCTGCAAAGTTGAGAAGTTGTTCCTATGGACAGACAGGCTATAGGCCTGTCATCATCAGCTTGAGATTGCCAAATAACCCGCTATTTGAACTATCCTGATCGCAAATTATCCAGCTATTTTGCATCTCCATCAGCCCGTAGTTGCAATTAGCGAGATGTTTAGTCGAGATAATCATCCCAAGATATCTTTGGCTAGTTTGCAAAATATCCCGCTATTTGTCCGGTCTTCACCAGACCGAAGACTCGCACTATGCTCGAACGCCGAGCACAATATCTCCGACCTGATGAAGACACAATTTGTAACTTTGGGCTTAATTCCCAAATCAGAAATAGCGGGCTATTTGGCCATCTCGAGCTGATGAAGACATACCTTACAAGAGGAAAGTGATGGGTAATATGCATCGTCTACCCCCAAATATCAAAATTTTCCAGTGGGCCTCCTAGACACAATTTGGATGGCAGCCAAGGAAACTTCTCATTGAGTACCCTCTCTCGGGTGTCAGAATTCATACCCTTCCCTCACGCAATAAGATAGAAACCGAGAGAGAGATGCCGACATTAAACTGAGGTGATGGAATTGCAAATGCTTTCCCATTTTTGTGCGTGTGATGGTAAGAGGACGGAGGCTCTTTGATGTGAAGTTTGCATACATTGCTGCTACACAGAAAGATGCTAGCTCAAGTTTGAGGATTTTATAAAAACTTGATATCATCGTAAAAATGTCACCTCTCTTATTTTCAATAGTAATAACTTATTGACCAACAGTAAAACCAAGTCAAAACTTATTTTTGCCCTAGAAAAAAATAGTTGTTTCACATAACGGCAGCAAACATGGGGAAAAGTAAATTTCCTTTACTTTTTTATTCAACTTGTTTTCCAGTAAGATACTTTCCATTATGACTGTCTATCTCTTTTGATTACCTTGGGCTACTGTTCCAGTATAATCCTCCATCTTCAAGCAATTTAAAATCTAGTTCAAAGACGATCGAGGCAGAAGTGTTGAAATACAAGCTCTTTGAAGGAAGGCAGAAAACCTTCCCAACGACTGATAACACCTCCCTGCTTCTGCATTTCTTTGATAATCCTTCATTGGCGCATTTTACTTCCGACCATGGATCTTGTCATAAAAGACACCATAGTAATGAGGCTTATATAGCTCCAAGAAAATCATTCTCACATCTATGTTCAAACATTAATGCCTGATGGCTAATGAGGGCCCCGTAATAGGGATTTAAATTGGTGTTTTTTAGTTCAGTGAGGTAACAGGAACATCTGGAGTGGATATAGATAGGGTATATACAGTTTTTAAAAAGTGTATTAGATGAGAAAGAGTGAGATAGGGTTGAAGGAGAATGAAAGAGAAAGAAAATGAGATAGGAAGAGAGATACAGAGAAAGACTGAGAGAAGGGGAGAGTGCAAGAAGGAGGGGATAGAGGGAGAGTGAGAGTGAGTTCGAGAGAGGGAGAGAGAGAAAGAGAGACAGATTGAGATTGAGATTGAGAGAGAGAGAGAGAGAGATATACATAGGAAACATACTTGGCAAGAAGAGGTGAGCAAAGGGAACAATTAAGTAAGATAAAAAATCAACAGGTGATCTCATGAAAGTTTATGAAAAGTTACAAAGAATTTGTTATCATTGTAAACATAATTATGTTCGAAAAACCCTTCAAAACGTACAGGTCACATTAGAAGAGGGAATATGTAAATCAACAACCTGTCCCCTATAAGCTAAAACTCCCACCATTTTATCTTAAATAAACCTCCTTTGAAAGTGATGAGAGCCATGTGGATGTGTTAAATAGACACTGCATGCCATGAAAAACAAAACAATTCAGACCCAGGGACCATGCGTAATTCGCCATTAAGATGTAGAACAAGCTAGAGCTCGTTCTACATCAAGGACATCCCTTGAGCCTTACTCGATCTAACCGTCTTCATTGCATCAAACACGCACACCCC